GGCTATGAGTATGCCACTACACTCCAGCCTGGGCAACACAGAGAGACTCCAACTCAAAAAAAAAAAAAAAGAAAAGACTAGGTGGAATTCCAAAGCTTTATGAAGAGAAAGATCTCTGGTAAATAAGCAGGCCATTAGAAAACCTAGTATCATTTTTGTTTTTTCATGCTTTGAGAGACTAATGTGTTTTTTTAAAAACTCAGTTGGTATGGATCCAGTGCATTTATATACAATTTTGTGACACCAATAACTGAAGGATCAACTGGATAAGAGAAAGAAGTAATATTTTCTTCTTTTTGCTTAGGTTTGCTTTGAATTGGGGGCTCTTTTTTGGTTCCATGTGAACTTTAGGATTTTTTGTAATTCTGTGAAGGATGACATTCGTAATTTGATAGGGATTGTTTTGAATCTATGGGGTGCTTTGGGCATCATGGATATTTTAACAATATTGGTTCTTCCAATCCATGAGGATAGAATTTTTTCCATTTTTTGTGTCATTTATTATTTCTTTTAGCTGTATTTTTTAGTTCTTCTTGTAGAGATCTTTCATTTCCTTGATTAGATGTATTTGCAGGTGTGTGTGTGCCATAAATGGGACTGTGTTCTTAATGTCATTCTCAACTTGAATGTTATTGGTGTATAGAGATGCTTCTGATTTTTGTATGTTGCATTTGTGTCCTGAAACCTTATTGAAGTTGTCAAGTCGACGAGCCTGTTAGCGGTGTCTTGAGGGTTTTCTATGTATGCAGCCATGTCACTGATGAACAGAGACAATTTGACTTACTCTTTTTCAACTTGGGTGCTTTTTGTTTCTATCTCTTCCCTGATTGCTCTGGCTAGGGCTTCCATTACTGTGTGGAATAGCAGTGGTGAGAGTGGACAACCTTGTCTTTCTCCAGTTCTGAGGGGGAATGTTTTGAACTTTTTCCTATCAAGTTTGATGTTGGCTGTACATGACTCTCCTTATCCAGATGTATGTTACCTAGTTTGTTTGGGGTCTTTATCATAAAAGGATGTTGGATTTTTATCATATGCCTTTTCTGCATATATTAAGAGAATTGTATATTTTATTTTTAGTTCTGTGTGGGGAATCATACTTCTTGATTTGTGCATGTTGAATCATCCTTGCATCCCTGGAGTAAAACCCTCTTGATTGTGATGGATTCTGGTTTTGATATGGTGTTGGGTTCAGTTTGCTAGAATTTTGAGGAGGATTTTTACATCTATGTTCACCAGGGATGGTGGCCTGTAGTTTTGTTGTTGTTGTTGTTGTTTCCTTCCCTGATTTGGGTATCAGATTGATACTTATTTTGTGAAACACATTTTGTGCAGTGAGTTAGAGAGGAGTCTGTTCGCCTTGATTTTTTTTTTTTTTTTTTAATAGCTTAAGTCAGATTGGGACCAGCTCTTATTTGTGCATGTGGTAACATTCAGCTGTGAATTCATCTGGTACTGAAGTTTTGTTCTCATTGTTGAAAGGTTTTTTTAATTACTGATTCAACATTATTACTAATTATTGACCTGCTTAGGATTTTTGCTTCTTCCTGGGTCAATTTTGGGAGTTTGTGTTTTCAGGGATTTATTCATTTCCTCTAAGTTTTCTAGTTTGTATGCATGCAGGTGTAGTCTCTGATAATGTTTTTTTGGGGGTATTTCTGTGGTCTCAGTTGTAATGTCACCCTCATCATTTCTGATTGTAATTGTCTCCCAGGCAGGGTTGCAGTGGCTCGCTCACGGCCACTGCAGCCTCCACCTGCTGGGCTCAGGCAATCCTTCCGCTTCAGTCTTCCAAGTAGCTGGAACTACAGATGCACAACACCACATCTGGCTAATTTTTGTGATTTATTGTAGAGACGAGGGCTCTCCAAGTTGCCCAGGCTGGTCTGAAATCCCCGGGCTCAGGCAATCCTCTTGCCTTGGCCTCTCAAAGTGCTGAGCCACCACACCCAGCCATATTAATTAATTTCTAACCATAGCTACAGATTTTACTGCATGACCGGATATTGATTCCATATAGGTGGTTTCATTGTTGTGCAACTAATCTCCAGATTTTGTCATCTTGCAAAACTGAAACTTTGTACTCATTAAGAAATAACTTCCAGCTGGGCTTGGTGGTTTAGCCTGTAATCCCGTGCTTTGGGAGGCTGAGGTGAATGGATTGCCTGAGCCCGCAGGTTCGAGACCCTCCTGGGCAACTTGGTGAGACCTCATCTCTACAATAAATCAAAAATTAGCCAGGCATGGTATTGCGCACCTGTAGTTCCAGCTACTTGGAATGCTGAGGCGGAAGGATCGCCTGAGCCCAGTTGGTTGAGGCTACAGTGACCGTGAGTGTGCCACTGCACTCCAGCCTGGGTGACAGAGTGAAACTCCAACTCAAAAAAATAAAAATAAATTAAGTTGAATAAAAACCTTATCCTCTGAATCTTCAGGGAGGTGGATTTGAGAGATTTCTCCAGCCCTCTTCGCTCAGCTACTTTGCCATATTAAACTCTTTCTCAACTGTAATGGTTGCATCAGTTTTATTTTTCTGGGCAGCAGGCATTAAAAGCCAAGTTCATCTGTAACAATTTAGGGGTTTGTCTGAGACAGGCCCTTTGCATTGTGGCATTTGCCAGCAGGTTGCCAACACTTCATCAGTGGGGCAGAGTCAGAAGCATGCCTAAGGCTGCAATCCAGATTTCTGAACCTTCCTTCCTGGCAAGGTGCCGTCAACCTGAGGCAGGGTTAGCATAGGTTAGACATGGATAAATTTCTTGTAGGCAGGTTTTAGGAAGCATTCGGATTTTTTTTTTGAGTTGGAGTCTCTGTCACCCAGGCTAGGGTGCAGTGGCATGCTCTCACCCACCACAGCCTCGACCTGCTGGGCAGGTGATCCTTCCACTTAGCCTTCAGAGTAGCTGAAACCACAAGTACACGCCACCATGCATGCCTGGATAATTTTTTGATTTATTGTAGAGATGCAGTCTTGCCATGTTTCTCAGGCTGGTCTTGAAACCCTGGACTTAGGCAGTCCTCTCACCTCTGCCTCCCAAAGTGCTGAGATTGCAGACGTGAGCCCCCACACCTGGCTCATTTTAAAAATCACATCTTGCCGGGCCCAGTGGCTCAAGCCTGTAACCCTAGCATTCTGGAAGGCCAAGGTGAGAGGATTGCCTGAGCTCAGGGGTTCAAGACCAGCCTGGGCAAGTTGGTGAGATCTCGTCTCTACAATAAATAAAAAATTAGCCTGTCATGATAGCATGTACCTGTAGTTTCAGCTCCTTGGAAGGGAGGTGGAAGGATTGCCTGAACCCAGTAGGTCAAGGCTGCAGTGGCCACGAGAGTAGCACTGCACTCTAGCCTGGGTGATAGAGTGAGACGCCAACTCAAAATAAATAAATAAAAATTACATTTTATTCCAGGCCAAACTGACAGCCTTCCCCACCACCTCAGCAAATCAAAATAAAACTCCATCAGATGAAAGACTAGGACAGCCCAACCTTTCAATTCATGGTTTAGCATAATAATCACTAGGAAATTCTCAATTACGGCCTGTGGCTCTGGCTGTTGCCTAGAGAAACTTTACTGACCTTCGATAAAAGGCACAGGTAGCAGATGCCTGTAATTCCAGCTACTTGGAAGGCTGAGGCGGAAGGATCGCCGGAGCCCAGCAGGTCAAGCCTGTGGTGGCCGGAAGCGGCCACTGCACTCCAAACTGGGAAACAGAGTGAGACTCCAACTCAAAAAAAAAAAAAAAAGGCACAAAACCAAATTAAACAGATCAGTGGCTGCCAGAGATACAAGTGAGAAGCAGACCCCTCTCTGGCCCCTTGGGTGCCTATCATCATGTCCTGAGCTGTCCTACTGGGGCCTGCTGTCCTCAGGGTCCTGAATGAATAAAAGCCTTTATGAGAGCCTGTCTCAAAGGTTGTGTGTGCGCATATGTGTGTGTACCTGTTTTGGACTTTAAACTCAGGAATGCAGGAGGTGGGGCTGTAGGAGGGGTGTGGACCTTTGGAATATGGCTACTTTAAGATAATAATCATTTCCAGCCCAATTAAAAGCTCCCCTGTGCCCATTTGTGGACCATCCTGCTTCCCACTTGCATCTCTGGCAGTCACTGATCTGTTTAATTTGGTTTTGTGCCTTTTATTGAAGGTCAGTAAAGTTTCTCTGACCTTTGAACTACATCAAGTTATAATCTCTTTGAGCATTCTATAGCCTTTATCTCAATTGCAATTATACTGTGTGTACAATTGATAAAAATATTATTCACTCTCCATCTCTTCTGCTAACTCCTGCAAGCATGTCTGAGGTAATAGATTGTCTAGCCAGTTCATTACTGTGTCCTCAGAAGTACTATCAAGTAGTTGCTCAACAAATATCATTTAACGAGGGAATGAATGGATAAGTGACTCAATGACTATAAGTCGAGTGCTCTGGGTCACTACTGACTCACAAAAGCAATTTAATATTCAGTGGTATTAAATCTATCATAATGTAGAGCCCCAGAGACCATATTCTTTTTTTTTTTTTTTTTTTTTTGAGTTGCAGTCTCACTCTGTCACCCAGACTGGAGTGCAGTGGCCACTCCTGGCCACCGCAGCCTCGACCTGCTGGGCTCCGGTGATCCTTCCATCTCAGCCTTCCAAGTAGCTGGAATTACAGGTGCGAGCTACCACACCTGGCTAATTTTTTATTTATTGTAGAGATGAGGTCTCACCAAGTTGCCCAGGCAGGTCTTGAACCCACAGGCTCAGGCAATCCACTTACCTCAGCCTCCCAAATGTGCGGGATTACAGGCTGAACCACCGAGCCTGGCTGACCATATTCTTTAAACATTTTTGAAGCATATGCCTAAACTTTGGGGACTTGTATTGGGTTTGAATATCAGCAATCAGAACCATCCTAGGCAATTCTCAATGTATGATTAGTATATTCAGTGAATTTAAGATGGACACATTTTACACATTTAACACTGTCTTTTGCCATTATTTTATCCACATATGTAAAGCTGTTTATTTTGTAATTTTTATACACCATATATTTTGTAACAGATCTGACATGACAGTGATGCCTAAGAGCAAGATCATGAAGTCCTCAAAATCAAGCTTATTTTCTGTGTTCTCATTAAGTTCAGAAAGGATCTCTCTGTATTTTGGTTTGGCTTCTTGTCCCTGTGAGAATAAAGAAGAAGAAATTAAAACCTAATTCATTTTATAGGCTTTAGTTTTACAGATCATAAACATAATGTCTTAGTGGGTTTTGTGTTGCTATAACAAAATACCCGAGACTGGGAAATTTATACAGAAAAAAGGCTTACTTGATTCACAATTCTAATGGCTGGAAAGTTCAAGATTAAGCATCTGCTTTTGGTGAGGGTCTCGGGTTACTTTCACTCATGGAAGAAGTCAAAGGGGCATTGGTGTGTGGAGATCATATGGCAAGAGAGGAAACAAGTGGGGGAGGGAGGTGCTGGGCTCTTTTAAACAACCAGCTCTAACAGGAACTAATAGAGTGAGAACTTACTCATCCCCAAGGGAAGGCATTAATCTGCTAATGAAGGATCTGCCCCCTTGGCTCAGGCACCTCCCATAAACTCCCACTTTCTACATCAGGGAATCAAATCTCAACATGAGGCTTGGAGGGGACAAACATCCAACTCATAGCAAATAACAGACATCTTAAGAACAATAATAACATGTCAAATTTCTATCAATGATACCAGTTGAGTACTGTGCTAAATATTTTCATGGGTTATCTCATTTAATCCTCACAGTGACTTACTGAACATGTACTATTATTATCCAGATTCTAAAGATGCAGTATCAGAGACTAGTGAGGAGTAAGTAACTTGCCTCAAGCTGGGAAACTTTTGATATAGAGCCATGGTTCGTGGCCTATCTACCTCTTAAGAGCTCACACTCTTAACTGCAATGCTATCCAACCTTTCTTTGAACACAGATGCTATCATGTTTGCAGATTTTCAAAATGTGTTTTGGTTAAGAAAGGTATTCTTTATGTGCTCATCACCTGAGCCTTGAGATTGCATAAAAATAAAATATGCTAAAAGAAAACATGTGCTTTGGAAGATCATTCAGCATTTAGTGTTATCATAAATGAAAGCCAAGTTCACAGTCCTCATAAACAGTTAGATTGAAGCAAAACATCTGAATAGTACATAAATGAAGAGGATTTTCAGTTTCAAACCACAGTTTGAACAATATCTTCCACATTGACATTAAAAATGCTAAGGCTATGCTTGGGGGTGTGTGCTTGTACGTCCCCTACTCAGCTACTCAGGACTCTTAGACAAATGAATTGCTTGAGCCTAGAAGTTTGAGACCATCCTGGTCAATATACTGAGATGCTATCTCGAGACAAAAACAAAACAAAACAAAACAAACCTGCTAAGGTCATTTGATTCACTTTTGTAATGAACTGTTTGCATTTAGTTCAACCCCAAATGCTCATCCATGTGCTAGATATAAAAAACCCAGCACAGCAATGACTACGTCACACTGTTGGAATGAGAGCACATACCTCTTACAGGCTGACACCCATCTTGGTTTCTCTAGGCTGGGTCTCCTCAAGAAGTCACCCTATCAGTGAGGGACAAGGGAATTCTTTACCCCCTCCCTCCAAGAGAACAGAATGCTATTTGGAAAAGACAAGATTTTAAGACATAGGTAGGACCACTTTTCTAATGGAGTCACACACTTTTTGATCAAAGATCAGAGATGGGGTTTGGCTTCTTCCTTTTTTTCTCCATGTTGTAAGAACATAGTGTTCATCCTGCTATCTTGTTTTTGTGTCTCCTTAGCAGTACCTTTTTTTTTTATAATCGATATTTTTTATTTTGATATTGTGGGATACAGTCAAGGGTTAGGCATACAAATATGCTTCATTCAGGCCCCCTTGTTGATAATTGGTGTTTCCCCATCACCAGACAGATGTTTACTACCATTAGTCCCATCTCCCCCACATAGTTTCCCAACACTGTCAGTCATTTTCTTATAGTAGTGCATTGGATGATCAAGGTCCACTATATGAGTGAGAATATGTGGTAGTCAGATCATTGTTTCTATGAGAGGTCACTTAGTATTATAGACTCCAGCTCCATCCAGGTTGCTGCAAAATTCATGATTTTGTTCTTTTTTGTGGCTGCATAGTATTCCATCGTGTATATGTACCACATTTTTTAAATACAGTCCTCTTTTGATGGACAGCGTGGTTGGTTCCAGGTTCTTGCTATTGTGAACAATGCTGCAATAAACATTTGCATGCAAGTATCTTTTATATAGAGTGATTTGAATTCTTCAGGGTATATTCCCAGTAGGAGGATTGCAGGGTCATATGGGAGGTTGATGTTTAGAGCTTTTAGGAATAGCCACACTGCTTTCCATAGAGGTTGCACTAGTTTACACTCCCACCAACAGTGTAGAAGTGTTCCCTTTTCGTCACACCCTCTCCAGCAGCTGTTATTTATTGAGTTGTTGATAACTGCCATTCTGACTGGGGTTAGGTGGTATCTCAGTGTGGTTTTGATTTGCATCTCCCTGATGATTAATGAGGCTGAGCATTTCTTCATGTGTCTGTTGGCAGCTCGGATGTCTTCCTTTGTGAAGTATCTGTTCATATCTTTTGCCCACTTGATAATGGGGTTGTTTGTTTTTTTCTTTTCAGCACGTTTGAGTTCCTTGTAGGTCCAGGATGTTAAGCCTTTGTCAGACCTGGAGTTGGCAAATACATTTTCCCAGTCTGTAGGCTGTCTTCCTGCTCTCTTGATGGTTTCTTTGGCTTTGAAGAAGCTTCTCCCACTTGTCTATCTTATCCCTTATGGCCTATGGATTTCGAGTTTTGTTCAGGAATTGGATGCCAGTTCCAATTTCCATGAGGGTATGTCCTTTATTTTCTAAGGTTCTTATGGTTTGAGGTTTTATATTTAGGTCCCTGATCCATTTGGAGTTAATTTTTGTGTATGGGGATAGATAGGGGTCCTGTTTCAATCTTCTGCATGTGGTCAGCCAGTTTTCCCAGCACCATTACTGAATAGGTTCTCCTCTCCCCCAGTGGTAGGTGGTGGAGGCTTTGTCGAAGATGAGTTGGTTGAGAAATTGAGGTCTTACCTCTGGAATCTCAGTTCTATTCCATTGGTCTATATGCCTCTTCCTTTACCAATACCAAGCTCTTTTGATGATTGTGGCTTTATAGTAAAGTTTGAAGTCTGGTAATGTGATACCACCTGCTTTGTTTTTTTTTTTTGCTGAGGATTGTTCTGGCAATTCTTGGTCATTTGTGTTTCCATATGAATTCCTGTGTTGTTTTTTCTAGGTCTGAGAAGAATGTTCCTGGTAATTTAATAGGTGTTGCATTGAATCTGTAGATTGCCTTAGGTAAGATGGACATCTTCACAATGTTGATTCTTCCAATCCATGAGCATGGGATATTTTTCCACTTGTTTGTGTCATCTTTGATTTCTTTGAGCAAAGTTTTGTAGTTTTCATTGTAAAGGTCTTTCACATCTCTGGTTAGGAAGATGCCAAGGTATTTCCTTTTTGTGTGTGGCTATTTTGAATGGAATTGTGTTTCTTATTTGGGTTTCTGTTTGTTTATTATTGGTGTAAAGAAATGTGATTGTCTTTTGCACATTTATTTTATATCCTGAGACTTTGCCGAAGGCCTTTATCAGTGTAAGGAGGTTTTTGACAAATACTCTTGGGTTTTCAAGGTATACAATCATGTCATCTGCAAAGAGAGATAATTTGACTTCCTCTTTTCCTATTTGGATACCCCTGATTACCTTCTCTTCTCTGATCACTCTAGCCAGGACTTCCAATACTATATTGAACAGGAGGTGTGAAAGTGGGCATCCTTGTCTTGTTCCAGTTTTCAGGGGAAATGGTTCCAATTTTTGTCCGTTTAGGAGTATGCTGGCTGTGGGTTTCTCATAGATGGCTTTTACTACTTTGAGGTATGTTCCCTGTATGCCTTAATGTTCAAGGGTTTTTATGAAGAAGGGTGCTGGATTTTATCAAAAGCTTTTTCTGCATCTAATGATATAATCATGTGGTTTTTGTTTTGACATCTGTTGATGTATTTAATTACATTTATTGTTTTACGAATGGTGAACCAGCCTTGCGTCCCAGGGATGAATCCTACTTGCTCATAATGAATGATTTTTGAGATGTGTTGTTGAAGCCGGTTTACTAGGATCTTGTTGAGAATTTTAGCGTCTATGTTCATCAAAGATATTGGCCTGTAGTTCTCTTTGTTTGTTGGATCTTTACCTGGCTTGGGTATCAATGTGATGTTAGCTTCATAAAATGATTTGGGGAGGGTTCCATCTTTCTCAATGGCCTGAAATAGCTTCAGTAGGGTTGGAATCAGTTCCTCCTTAAATGTCTTGTAGAATTCTGCTGGAAAGCCATCTGGTCCGGGGCTTTTTTCTGTACGTAGTTTTCTTATTACATAGTCAATTTCCTTGATTGTTATTGGTCTACTTAGGGTCTCAATTTCTTTTTGTTTCAACCTAGGCAGGTTGTGTGATGACAGAAAGTCCTCCATTTCCTTGAAGTTTTCAAGTTTGTTTCCATACAAGTGTACATTGTAGTCTCTGATGATGTTTTGTATTTCTTCAGGATCAGATGTGACTTCATCTTTTGTGTTTCTGATTGGGCTTATTTGGGTTTTTTCTTTCTTTTTCTTGGTCAGTCTAGCTAGGGGACCATCGATCTTGTTTATCCTTTTGAAGAACCAGCTTTTTGTTTCATTGATTTTTTGTATTGTCTTTTTGTCTTCTATGTCCTGGATTTGGGCTTTTATTTTGGTGATCTGGATTCTTCTGCTGAAATTAGGGTTTTTGTGATCTTGCTTTTCCAGCTTCCTTAGGTGGCTTGTTAGGCTATTAATTTGTGCTCCTTCTAATTTCTTCATGTGTGTTTGTAGGGATATAAATTCCCCTCTTACTATAGCTTTTAAGGCGTCCCAGAGATTTTGGTAAGATGTTTCTTCATTTTCATTTGTTTCCAGGTATCTTTTGATCTCTGTTTTGATTTCATCATTGATCCAGGAGTTGTTTAGCATCATGCTGTTTAGTGTCCATGTCTTTGTGGGTTTTGGGGGGGACGTTGTTTGTGTCAATGTTTATTTTTATTCCACTGTGGTCCGAGAAAGTGCATGGTAGAATTTCGGTCTTTTTAAATTTGCTTATGCTTGATTTATGGCCCAGAATGTGGTCAATCTTGGAATATGTCCTGTGTGGTGATGAGTAGAATGTGTATTCTCTGGTCTCTGGATGGAGTGTTCTGTAGGTATCAATTAAGTCCATTTGGTCCAGAGTCACATTGAGGTTCCGAATCTCGTTACTGATTTTTTGTCCCGATGATCTGTCAAGGATTGTGAGTGGGGTATTAAAGTCCCCAGTTATGATGGTGTTAGAATCAATATCTTTCTTTAGTTTTCCTAGAAGTTGCTTTGTAAAAGCTGGTGCACCTATATTAGGTGCATGTATGTTTAGGATAGATATTTCTTGTTGATGGAGTGAGCCTTTTATCATTATGTAGTGGCCCTCTTTTTAAGTTTTTGATAGCTTAAATGGTATTTTGTCTAAAATTAGGATCGTGATTCCTCCTTTCTTTTGTGTTCCTTTTGCCTGGAAATTTGTTTCCCATCCTCTTAGAGTCTGTGCATGTCCTTTCTCGTGAGATGGGTCTCTTGAAGGCAGTATAATGTTGCCTGGTGATATTTTATCCATTTTGCCATTCTATGTCTTTTCAGTGGTGCATTTAGTCCATTCACATTCAGGCTAATTATTGAAATGTGAGAGTTCATCCCTACCATATAGTCCTTTTAGAGTTGTTCTTCCACTTGGTTTATTGTCTTTCTTTTGTTTTTGGGGTTGGTTCATATGTATTTTATTCTTTTTTCTGTATTCTTGTGAAAAATGTTGTTCTTATTTCCCCTTTGCTTCTGTGTTTAGTACTTTCTTAAGTATTTCATGTAGAGGTGGTTTGGTGGCAGCATAGGTTCTTAGGGATTGGATATCTGGGAAAGATTTTAATTCTCCCTCGCTGATTAAGCTTAATCTGGCTGGGTAGGTTATTCTTGGTTGAAATTGTTTATCTTTTAGGACTTTGAAGATAGGGCTCCAAGCTCTCCTAGCCTGCAGGGTTTCTGTAGATAAATCTGCTGCTATTCTAATTGGTTTTCCATGGTAGGTAATCTGACCTTTTTCTCTTGCTGCCTTTAGGATTTTTTCTTTTATGACTACTTTGTTTAGGTGAATTATTATGTGTCTAGGAGTTGGTTTTCTCATTTGTTGTCTTGCAGGGGTTCTCTGGATCTCTTGTGTTTGAGTTTTTGCATCATTGATTAGATAAGGGAAGTTTTCTTGAATGATCTCATGGAAGGTTTGTTCCAATGTGGTCTCTGTCTCTCTTTCTGCCTCAGGAAGACCAATTACTCTTAGGTTAGGCCTCTTGAGGTAATTGCTCATCTCTTGAAGGTTTTTTTCTGTCTTTTTGTGCTTGTTTTCTGTGTTTTTGAGAGTTTGTGTTATTTCTATATTTTGGTCCTCAAGCTCTGAGATTCTTTCTTCTGCTTGGGTAATTCTGCTTTCCATGCTTATCAGTTTATTGTTTATTTTATTCACAGTATTTTTTGTTATTATCTCAGATATCAGCTCCTTTCTAGTTTCTTCTTGAGTCTCTTCAGTTCTTTTTAATCTCTCCATTAATGTCTTGATGTCTAGGGTGGTATTTTGAGACCATTCATTCTGGGTGGGGCTCTTCGTTGTTTACATTCCAAAGTCAGTTTTCTCAGTGTCTGCCCTCTCAGGAGTCTGGGATAGACCCATATTCTTCTTTTGGTTTTTCTTCATTTGTGTAGATTTTTCTCTCTCATCCCTTAGTGGATCAAGTTCCTGAGATCTAATCTCCAGCTTCTCTCCTCTGTTTCTATTGCAGGCCATTAGCTTGTTGCCTAGGAGATCTGTGACACTAGTCTTTATTCAGCATAGGGGAGGAGCTTTGTCTCCTGTTAATGATGTCACCATGGGAACCAAGGTGAAGGCTCTGCTAGGTGGGTGGGGTGATGCAATGTAAATATGCTTTGAAAATGGGGGAGGTGGTGGTTTTACTTTCGCTTTTAGGGGGTTCCTGTGGGTCTCTAGGTGGGACCAGCTTCACAGCTGGGCACTGGATCTGGGGTGCCTCCAGCCAACTGGGGTGGAGGACAGGGTTGGGCATTTCCTCCTCTGGAGCTGGAAGCCTGTAACCGGCACCTTATGCCAGCTTGGGGTTCTGCCCCCTTACACAGGCTTGTGGTGGCACACACTGAGTGCCTCAGCCAGTTTGGGCCAGGGCCTTCCGATCTGCAAAGCTCCAGAGGGCAGGTGGTGGCTTTGGGTCCCTCCCAGGGCACTTTAGCCAGAAATGGGACCGGTATCTCTAAGGGGCGGGCACTCAGAGTCTCCCTGCATGACCGGCAGCTTCGCGCTGGGTGCTGGTCTCCACGATGTGGCTGGGGATGGAGCTGTGGTCTGGGATTTGGAATTCCCCAGCCAGCCGGAATCACATATAGTGGAACAGCCACAGTCTGGCGGCAATGTCTGGCCCTGCATGGGACCAAAAGTTCCCAAGCCTCGTACCAGTGTGGCTGGAGGTGGGCGGGGGGTGCAGGAAGGAAAGTAATAGTCTTTTTGGAAAACTCACGTTCGGAGAATCTCAGGGATCCATCTATGCGGTTGCCATCTTCCGAAAATCCAGCAGTACCTTTTGTTGTTTGGTTTTATTTTATCTGACTGACTATAGGAAGCTAAGATCCCAAGGCTAATGGTGTCTTTCCTAATAATTTTTGTGATTTTTTTACTGATTTTTTTTCCTGTGGTGTTCTCAGACAGGTGATAAGTTACGGTGAGATGGTACATCCACTGGGTCCTCATTTTCATACTTGTTAAAAGAATGTTGAGTATTTTCCAGGGCATAAAACAAAGAGTTCTTTTTCTCTCTGGGATATGCAGTTTCTTTTGGCCTCTGAAGCAGGCAAATGTTATAGGATTTATTACCCTACCCTTTCTTTAAAGACTACCTAACACTTTTTATCTTTTGATAAATTATGCCCGGAAAATAGCTTTTTAAAAAAATATTTCAGAAAAAATGCATTTTTCATAGAGAATATTTAGAAAAAATAAGTTTAAAAAGAAGGCAATGATAACTCTTTACCCCACTACCCGAAGATAGCTAACCCTTATTAATGTTTCTTTTCTTTTTTTGAATTGGAGTCTCACTCTGCCACCCAGACTGCAGTGCAGTGGCTGCTCCCAGCCACTCCAGCCTTGACCTGCTGGACTCCGGCGATCCTTCCACCTCAGCCTTCCAAGTAGCCAGAACTACAGGTGCACGCTACCACACCCGGCTAATTTTTTTGATTTATTGTAGAAATGGGTCTTGCCAAATTGCCTAGGTGGGTCGTGAACCCACAGGCTCAGGCAATCCACTCACTTCAGCCTCCCAAAGGCACGAGATTATAGGTTGAGCTATGGAGTATGGCTAACGTTTTTTTCCAGACATTTTTATGTGTATTATACTATAGATTCTTCTCTCTCTCTCCTTTAGAAATGATTATCAACATACAGGAAGTTGTATCTTTGACCCAGCTCATCTCAGTGAGTGACCTCTTATATAACTCTAGTACCTTAAAACCATATATATGTGTGTGACTGTGTGTGTGTGTATGTTTGCGTGCATGCTAGTGTATAATACTATCTGAGAACACACACAGGAACTTGAGACTGCCTTTTTTTGTTTTTGTTTTACCTACAAATAAATATTGGTAGTTTTGGCTCTTAATAAGCCCTCTTTTCTTCTTACATAATTACTTTTTCAGTATATTTCTCTGCTGGATTGCTATCTTTGTTCATTGCATTAACTCCAGTGTCCTGTTCACTCCCTGGCTTAAGGTATGTGTTCAATAATTATTTGTGAGTTAAACAATATGACCAAGGTGATGAGCTGGAGTTTTGGCTTTTGGGCATCAGCCATGATGGCATAGCCCCTGTTTCTTCAGGTATGTTAATTCTCCTACCTCTGTGAAAATACTAAATTTGGTTAGTAACAGATTTTTGGCAGTAGCTTTTCCAAGTTTACCATCCAAGTCAGAAGAGTTTCTAAAAATCAGAGCAGCAGCAGTAATGGCTCTTTCCAGATCTGAGCCCTTTTTCAGAGCTATAGGAGAATAAATGTGCAGCAAAGTATCCTAGTTTAAAAATAACCCTTATCAGTCCACGGGTTCAAGACTCGCCTGGGAAACTTGGTGAGACCTCATCTCTACAATAAATTAAAAATTAGCCGGGCATGGTAGCACACACCTGTAGTTCCAGCTACTTGGAAGGCTGAGGCAGAAGGATCACCGGAGCCCAGCAGGTCGATGCTGCGGTGGCCAGGAGCGGCCACTGCACTTCAGCCTGGGTGACAGAGTGAGACTTCAACTCAAAAAAATAAAAAAAAAAAAAATAACCCTTATTAATGGAGGGGAGGGCAAGATGGCCACCATCGTATGGTAGACTGGCATTTCTCTCACCTAGCAAGACAGAGAGTAGGGACCCAGAAAATTCCCTAAATGCTTTTGAGTGGGTGAAGCACCTTGTGTCCAGTGGTTGTCTCTCTGAGCACACAGAGACCAGAAAGCAATTAAAGATAAGCAATCCCAACAAAGACTTTTCTACTCCATCAAGCTAAACTTCATCAGTGATGGAGAATTAAAATCCTTCACAGGCACCCAATCCCTAAGATAATATGCTGTCCCCAGACTAGCCCTTTAGGAGACACTTAAGAATATGTTGAACACAGAAAAAAAAAGAATGGACATATCCATCACAAAAGTACAAGCAAACACAGAGTTAATAGAGCATATAGAGCACCCACAAAAATGAAAACACACACATATATAAATACAAAAGTTAAAAGGGAAGAAAGCAACCCCCTAAGAGTCCTATGACTCTCATATTTAAATAATCAACTTGAACATGAATGGACTAACTGTGCCATTGAAGAGGCATAGAGTGGCAAACTGGATAAAAAAGCATGATTCAACAATATGATGCTTCCAGGAAACTGATCTCACTGCAAAGGATACCCACAGACTCAAGTTTGGAGACTGGAAGATCTTTCAGGTGAACAGAAAACAGAAGAAGGCAGGAGTAGGTATTCTGACATCAGACAAAGGAGTTTTCAAGCCATCAGAAGTTCAAAAGGACACAGAAGGACCTTGCATAATGATAAAAGGCTCAACACTAGCAAGAAATATCCATCCTAAACATATAAGTACCCAACACAGGAGCACTGGGTTTATAAGACAACTACTAAGTAAACTAAGAGAGGACATTGACTCTCACACAATCATAGCTGGAGTCCTAAATACAGTTTTAGATAGATCTTTGAGGCAAAAAACCATCAAGGAGATCTGAAACCTCAACTCAACGCTTGAGAAAATGGACTTAATAGACATCTACAGAACACTTCACCCAACAACTACAGAGTATACATTCTACTCATCAGCACATGGAACATACTTTAAGATTGATCACATTCTTGTACATAAATCAAGCATGAACAAATTTTAAAAGAGCAAAATAATACTATGCATCTTCTCAGATCACAGTGGAATAAAAATAATTATTTCCATTAATAGCTTACCTCCAAAACAGACAAAGACATGGACACTAAACAACATGCTGCTAAATGACTTCTGGGTCAAAATGGAAATCAAGACAGAAGTAAAAAGATTCCTGGAAACAAATAAAAACAAAGAAATGTCTTATTAGAATCTCTAGGATGCCATGAAATCAGATTAAAGAGGAAAATTTATAGCACTGTAAGCACACATCAAGAAAACAAATCACAAATAAACAGAATGGCATCACACCTAAGGGAGCTAGTAAGGCAAGATCTTCAAAATTCTAACTGCAACAGAGGAATCCATATCACCAAGATAAAATCACAATTACAGGACATAGAAGACAAAAATAGCATAGAAAGGATCACCAAGACAAAAAGCTGGTTCTTTGAAAGGATGGATAAGATTCACAGACCCCTGACTAGATTGACGATAAAAAGAGAAAGTCCAAACAAACACAATTAGAAATGTAAAAGACAAAGTCATAACTGACCCTGGAGAAATGAAAAAGATTATCAGAGATTACGATGAAGACCTATATGCAAATAAACTAGGAAACCCGAAGGAAATGGAGGACTTTTTGACATCACACAACCTCCCAAGGTTGAAACAAGAAGAAATTGAAACTATAAACAGACTAATAAAAATTCAGTAAATTGACTCAGTAATAAGAAATCTCCACACCAAAAAAAGCCCTGGTCCAGATGGCTTTTCACCTGAATTCTACAAGACATACAAGGAGGAACCGATATCAATCTTATTGAAAATATTCCAAGTAATTGAGATTGATGCAATCCTCTCCAAATCATTCTATGAAGCTAACATCATAGTGATGCCCAAACCTGACAAAGACCATCAAGGAAAGAGAATTACAGGCCAATCTCCTTGAACACAGATGCAAAAATTATCGGATCCAATAACACATCTCTAGGATCATCCACTGTGACTAGGTGGGCTTCATTCCTGAGATGGAGGACTTGGCATTCAGCATTCACAACACCATAAATATAACTCAGTACATTAACAGTTATAAAACCAAGAACCACATGATTATATCATTAGATGCAGAAAAGCATTTGACAAAATCCAGCATTCCTTCTTGATAAAAACCTTGAGCACCTAGACACAGAAGGAACATTCCTTAAAGCAGTGAGAGCCATCTATGATAAAACCACAGCCAACATTTTGCTCAATGGGCAGAAATTGGAAGCATTCTCCCTAACAATGGGAATAAACTAAGGATGCTCACTCTCCCCTGTCCTGTTCAATATAGTACTGGAAGTCCTAGCCAGAGCAATTAGGCAAGAAAAAGAAATCAGGGACATCCAAATAGGAAAAGAGGAAGTTTAGCTACCTACCTCTTTAAGGACAATATGATGCTATACCTTCAAAACCCAAAGGGGTCTGTCAAAAACCTCCTTGTGCTGATAAATGGCTTTGGTAAAGATTTGGGGTACCAAACCAATGTGCAAAAGACAGTTACATTCTATACACCAGCAACAAGCAGGCAGAGAACCAAATAAAAAGCACAATCCCATTTATAATAGCCACACACACAAAATAAATACCTAGGCATCCACCTAACCAGAGAAGTGAAAGACCTTTACAGTGAGAACTACAAAACACGGCTCAAAGAAATCAAGGATGGCACAAATGGAAAAAAATTCCATACTCATGGATTGGAAGAATCAATACTGTTAAGATATCCATCCTACCCAAGGGAATCTACAGATTCAATGCAATATGAATCAAATTTCCAACATCATTCTTCTCAGACCTGGAAAATGACAATACAGAAATTCATGTGGAAACATAAAAGAGCATGAATAGCAACCTCAGCAAAAAGAACAAATCAAGAGGTATCACACTTCCAGACTTCAAATTTCATTACAAGGCTACAGTAACTAAAATAGCCTGGTAGTGATACAAGAATAGGCACATAGACAAATGGAACAGGACAGAGATTCTGGAAGCAAAAACACTGTCTCTCAACCAACTTATCTTTGATAAAAGCACCAATAACAATCACTGGAGAAAGGACACCATATTTAGCAAATGGTGCTGGGAAAACTGGTTGAACACCTGCAGAAGAAACTGGATCCCTACCTATCACCATATACAAAAATCAACTCAAAATAGATCAAAGATCTAAAAGTAAAACCTCATACTATAAGAATTCTAGGAGAAAATGTAGGAAACACACTTATGCACATTGGAGTAGGCAACACATTCTTGACCAAGTCCCCACAAGCAAATGCCGTAAAAGCTAAGATAGACAAGTGGGGCCTCATCAAACTGAAAGGCTTTTGCACAGCAAAATAAACCATTAGGAGAGTAAAGAGATAAACCACAGAATGGGGAAAATATTTCCAAATTATGCATCTGACAATGGTCTAACATCCAAAATCTACAAGGAACTCAAACAAAGTAAAAAGAAAAAACAAACAACCCCCACTAAAAAGCGGGCAAAGGACATAGACACTTGTCAAAAGCAGCCAATAGGCACATGAAAAAATGCTCAGCCTGACTAATCATCAGAGAAACGCAAATCAAAATTGCAATGAGATACCATCTAACTACAGTAAGCATGACTATTGCTAATAAGTTGAAAAACAACAGATGCTGGCATGGATGCAGTGAAAAGGGAACACTTCTACACTTTTAGTGGAAGCACAAGCTAGTTCAAACTCTATGGAAAATGGTGTGATGATTCCAAAAGAACTAAAAATTGACCTTCCATAGAATCCAACAATTCCTCTCCTGGGAATATGGCTAGAGGAACATAAATCATTCTACCAAAAAGACACCTGCACACACATATTTATTGTTGCACTATTCACAATAGCAAAAACACGGAACCAACTCTACTGTCCATCAAAAGCAGATTGGATCATCAAAATATGGTACACATACAAGATGGAGTATTATGTAGCCACAAAGAAGAACAAAATCATGGACTTCACAACTTCATAGCATATTGAATGGAGTTGGAGACTATCAGACTAAGTGCTCTGACACCGCAACAAAGAATGGAATGCAATACGTTCTCACCCACAAGTGGGCTCTGAACAACAGACACACAAACACAAGGAAGGATTGGCAGTTGCTGGGCACTGCCAGGGAAGGGAGGGAGGGTGCAGGATGGAGGGCGTGTGGCAACACCAAGGGTACCTGGTCTGCTACTGGGGGAATGAGGGCCAGTTGGAAGCCCAAACTTCACCCACATGCAGTCTATTTATGTACCTAATACTCACTTGTACCCCACATCTCTATAATAAAATTTAAAAATAAAAGAAATAACCATTCCCCAGACATGGGGCTCTATCTCCAAGAGGAGTGTGGGGGAACAGATTTGGAAGGTGCTGGTCACTGTGGTCCCATCTTTGGGCCCCTATCCGGGAGATGGATGTGGAAGTGTCTGATCCTGCATATTTAGATGATGAAGAACAAAAATTCCTTTAGTTACAATTAAAATTCATATAATTAGAAGGAGAGTTACTACTTGCTTGCCATGTGACCTTAGGAAAATGCCTAAAACCCCGCTAAGCTTTGGTTTTCCAATCTATAGTTACATTCAGTTATTCAACAAATATTTACAGAGTGCCTACTATCTGCTAGGTTCAGTCCTTGGCATTAAGGATACTTCACTGAATTAAATAAAGTCCTGCTCTTGTGGAATTTATATTCTATGTTGGAGACAACATTGAACAGTGTGATCAAGAATGACACCCAGGACAAGCACTTTGATATAATGACAGATAAAGGTTCTCTTTGACTCATGGCCTCAAACAGTGATCTCCCAGCTGGTTTCCCTGTGTTGAGCTCCTTGAAAGGGCAGTGCTAATTTGTTTTCCAGTGTGTTCCAGTGAAATAAATGCACAAGTTATCATGAAGAAACTTCTCAAACTCTGTGTCCTCAATGTCACCAATACACCTCCTAGTATAGAATTTATCACACATTACAGTTAATACATGTTTAACTGTATTTCTCTCCAACAAGAAAGCAATCCCATGAGGCCAGGGGTCATATCTTTCTTTTTTATCATAATATTTTCAGTGACAAGCACAAATGTCTGCCACCTAGTAGGTGCTAACAAATGTTGTTGAATGAATGAATGAAGAAGAAGAAAAGAAAAACAAAATTTTTCCACCCAAGTAATGTGCCAGAATGATGCCAAAATGATGTTCAATCAGAATAATGTGATTTTTGTATTGAGCACTTACTGCATGCTTAGTACTTCCCTAAAGTACTCAGCACACAAAAGGATATATCATGTCTACCCTCATATATTTTACAATCCATAGTAAATAATAATCAAGAGTATATATGCATATACATATATATTTATATGTTTGATAATTTTTTGTCCACATATATATAATATATATATTTACAACTTATGATGTAGGAGGCAAAGAAGGTACAAAGATAAGAAAAAAAGGAGAGAATGGGTCGGGGAGGAAAACTGCTTAGATAGGTTGCCTGGACAGCCACTATGAGTAGATTAATATTTATGCTAGACCAATAGAATGAGGAGCCTGCCACATAAAAGGGTGGAGGTCAGAGTGGGATTGGAGCTTTATTGAGTGTTCCAGGCTCAGGGAGCTGCATATGTGAAGGCTCAGAGCAGAAGGAGCCGGCATGTTAGAGGAGCTGAAAGGGTGTTTGATTAGGAAAAGTCGGCAGGAGCTAGGTCAGGGATGAGAGGCTGTGTAAAGGAATCAGGGCTTTCTTCAAAGTAGAAAGAGATATTATTGGAGCATTTCAAGTAAAGGTGAGAAGGGACAAGAGCTAAGAGAAATGGGCAAAGGGAGGGAGTGTGTGGGCCTTCTCAGTTTTCACTGTATCTCTGAGCAGGGCCCAGGCCATATATTAGGTTAAATAAAGTTCACATAGCTAAGAAGTAGCATAGGAAGTATTTGAAGGTCTGTCTGATTTCAAAGCCCATTGGAAGATTGTTGAGAAATATCTCCTTGCAAGAGCATCCCCATGGTGGCAGCAGAATCTAGAGTTTTTCCACCCCCCGCTGAAGTTCAGGTCTGACTTGCACTCTGAAAAGGAACTCCGTCTGAACTAGTCAGCTTCTCATTCTTCTCCTCCATCTCTTTGAAAAAACAGCATGCATTTTCCCCTGACTATAAAATACCATATGCTAATGGTAAAAGCAGAATTTAGAAATATTTAAAATAAAAGATCATGAGCAGCTATGGTTATCCTACCAACATTGATGCTATTTTGTGACTTTTTAGTTTCCTGTTTTTATGTTTGGATTCTTCCTTTAATAGACCCAGCAGGTTGCCTCCTGATTCCATAACTGTCTGCCTCGCAGAGGTGTAAGCTGGTATGCAAAAGCATATTGGAAGGGGCCAAGTGCAATTAAAACCCCAAGGGAGTGCCTCTTCTCTTTTGGCATCTTCCATTGGCTCTCTTGCCCCTAGAATGGGAGTGCAGGGGAGGGTGTTAAGCCAGGCCACTTCGTGTTGCCCTCTCCTGCTACTCCCTGGCTCACTGTTTACACTTTAATAATATTGAACTGTGTACAGTTCCAAACATCCTCTATACATCCACCAAGTATTACTAGGCAAGTATTTATGGCCAGGCCCTCAGCTAGTTCTGGGTGCAGACTAGTGAACAACATCGAAAGAACAATTGCTGACATCTTAGAGCTTGTGTTCTGGCGGACAGTGATCATGAATGCTTATGCAGCTCATACTCTATGCCAGCCACTCCTCCGTGGGATGGATGTGCATGAGGCAACTCATTCAGTTCTTACATCAGTAGGTTCCTACATGAGGTAGGCCCTAGCATCATCCCTACTTTAATGATGAAGAAACGAAGGTATGGAGCAGCTCGCCTAAGGTTACTCAACCGGTCTGTTTTTTTCACCGTGATGCACTTCTAGGTGGCATTTTTTTCAGGCAGTGTATTCTGTGGGACTCTTTCCCACACCCCCAGAGATGGCTACGTGTCCCTCTTTTGTGCTGCTATAGTTCCCTAAATACAACATTTTCATGACCCTCACACCGAAACAGTTTATCTGTTTAAATTATCTTCCAGATCAGTGCTATCCTCCCAGACACAACATGAACCATAAACATAATTTTTAATTTTCTGATAGCCACATTAAAAAAGTAAAAAGAAACATGCAAAAATTTTAATAGCATATTTTATTTAACCTAATATATTAAAATATCATTTCAACATGTAATCAATATAAACAATCATTATTGAGATGATTTACAATTTTTTCCTATTAAAGCTCTCAAATCTTACACATCTCAATTCAAATTAACCAAATTTCAAGTGTTCAGTAGCTATGTGTGGTAAGTAGCTACCATGTTGGACAACACATTGGATTTTATGTTCTCTGAGGATACTTACTGCACCTAGTTACTACATCTTAAATAAGATATTCAATAAAAGAACACTCTTAGAATTTTTTCCGAGTCCCTAGCATGTTGTAGGCCTCAGTATACATGTGTTGAACTGAGTTAATTTGAGCTTCAGAACAATTCCGTGTCTTTTCCTCCTCACCTGCCCTGCAATATGGAACATGGAACACTAAACCTTGTACACTTGATTTAAAATTTAAAACCAACTGAGTTCTAATTAGTGTCATAGGATCGCCATTCTCAATACAGCAAGGTGTCAGAATCACCTCTTTTAGAACTTTTCCTGACATCAGTTGTTTTTGTGATGTGAAGACCTATGAGAGATAAGTTGATGGTTCAATCTCACATGGCAGAACTCTTCAGTCCTTCTCAAACTGTTCCACTACGAAACCACTCTGAGTGTTAGAGGTGAATATGCACTCACCCCACATCCTTACTCCCCGTGAGATCAAACACATAAGCCCAAGGGGCCAGCAGAGAAAATGTGGGTTCATATTCACTTCTATGCCATGAGCTCGCCATGACTGGTTTCAAATAACATTTAAAATTACCTCCCACTGAATAAAATACATTCTGGGGAGATGAGTCACATTTTCCTTCTGCTTCTTAAGGTATGGGGATAAGTGTGGCTCGGTGGTCTAAATTAAGGAGTGTAGTACTAGAAATGGTGTCTGGGGGTGCGTTGGCAGTGGAGGTGATAGAGTTACAATCCCCTCTCAACCTCCCAGAGGAAGAAGTTATGCTAGAATGTAATGGAAAAATTCCCAAAAGTAAATTTTTGAAACAGAAATCACAGTTCTGCCAGGCTCGGTAGCTCAGTCTGTAATCCTGTGCCTTGGGAGGTTGAGGTGAGTGGATTGCCTGAGCACGCGGGTTCGAGACCCACCTGGGCAACTTGGCGAGACCTCATCTCTACAATAAATCAAAAAAATTAGCCAGGCGTGGTAGTACACGCCTGTATTTCCAGCTACTTGGAAGGCTGAGGTGGAAGGATAGCCGGAGCCCAGCAGGTCGAGGCTGCGGTGGCCAGAAGCAGCCACTGCACTCCAGTCTGAGTGACAGAGTGAGACTCCAATTCAAAAAAAAAAGAAAAAGAAATCACAGGTCTGTTGTGTTGTGATAGTATAAAATCAGTTTCATAAATATAAAGATTTATTTAAATGAAAATAGAGAGTTTATTGTGGAGAGATTGACCAGCCATCTAGGAGGAAAAACGACTGCAATGTAGTGATTTCTAGCTGTGCCTGGTACTCTAAAAATATGCAAAGCCCTAAATTTTGGAATAAGATAATGGTCCAAGTATATGAGTGGTTTTTTTTCTTATAATATTGCTAGTTCTAAAGATATTTTACCTATGCAATTAAATTCCAAAAGCAAATATTTACACTGTGAGAGATGCTGACACTGTTTGCACTCAATCTACAGAGGCAGTTGGGGGTTGATTGCATCTTGAGTACCACCGCCCATAGATGAGTCAGATACTCATGGTCCTGTTTTACATATCCCAAGGACGCTGCCCATGGAGGAGTAGCTGGAAATGGTGGCAAAAACACTGAATTAGGAGTCAGGGGACCCATGGTCTCATCTTAGCTCTGCCTTTAATAGGTAGTCTAAATCTAGGCAAGCAAATTTCTACCACTGGACCCCAGTTCCCAAATCTCTAAAGAGAGCATAATAAATGTTTGATGATTCATCCAACATCTCTGGCATTCTTTGATGTCCTACTAATTTTTAACTCTTGGTGTGCCATCATGGTAGAGGAGAAACACATGCATCTCAGTAATCTGTGCCTTACCTTTTACTGAAGCCAGTTGTTTGGATATTGACATGCTGCCAGCAAAATGAAAGAAACAAAGATTTTCGGAGTTTTGGTACTGACATTGTCATCTAAAGCAGAGGAATTACGATTTAATTTTTTTCAGTAAATATTCTCTAAGCATTCTAATGGAATAGCTATTTGTTTACCAAAATCTGTTCCCCCCTTGCCACATAGTAAAGGAGTGCCTGACCATGGCTGGCCAACTAACCCACATATTCCAGTCTTTCATGGAGTTTTTCCATATGACTACATGCCTTTAAATAAAAAAGGAGCACTTTCCACGTAAACTCCTCCACACTTGTTCCCATTTCCAGCTAACTAAGATGGAGATTATCAGGAAATCTTTGGAAGCCACACGTTGACAATGGCGGAATCTCCATCAGACTGAACCCCTGTACGGAGTAAAACTGCCATAGATTGGGAACCCCCACTCTGGACTGTGACATGAAAAAAAAAACAAACTTCTTGTTCTATAAAATACTCAGGCTTTGATGTTTATTTGTTCCAGTAGTTTAGCTTACCTACCTAAGTGTCTAGGTATTATGCTGGGGTGGAGATGCATGAGTGAATGATAGAGACATGTTCTTGCCCTCTTGGGCTAGTCTAGTGCAGAAGACAGTTATTAATCAGGTAAGTCAACAGAGTAATGGCAGGGCACATACAATGGCAGAAAATAATTTAGTCTACAGTTGGGGCAATGACATTTTCCCTGAGCCTAATGAACCAGTAGTGAAGGAGGAAGAGTGTTCCAAGCAGAAAAATCATAAGTGCTATGGCTTTGACATGGGAGAAATCATGGCATGACGGAAGAATCGAAGGAAGTACAGTGTGGCTGGAAACCAGAGAAAGAAGGAGATAATGGTGGAAGATGAGGCTGAAGTCAATGGTCAGGCAAAGCCAGGGAATTCTGAGCCTGGGAGACTATATAAGACATTCCAAATGCATCCCAAGGGCAACAGAAGTTATATAATCAAATTTGCATTTTGAAAAATTATTTCACCTGCTATATCAGAAAAGATTGGAAAGGGGCGAGATTGGAGGAAGATGACTCTTGCTCCCTTACAAACAGCAAATCAAAATTTGCTTGATTTTCCACCCCCAATGACTGGTGTGGTTTTAGAGAAAGGCAATAAGTTTGATAGAATTCAGTCATACCTCGAGCAACTCCTTAAAAGGAGTTTTGGGTTCAACATCTGGTTTGGGCATTAACTAGTCAAGGAAGCATCACCTCATTTTTGTCACTTGTAACATTAGGAAGCTGGACTCTGTGATATCTGCACCAATCTTAACTCCTTCGAAAGGTGAAGGATATTTCACTTTGAACAATGTGCACTTACAATATGACATATATTCTTTCCTATTGTTATGATTGACTTTCTGTCTCTTCTGTTAGTCTGTGGAGCCCCTGAGAAGCAAGAGCTATGCGGTGTCTCTCCATATCTTTTACCTCTGGCCAAGCAGAGTATCTAGTATTGTTTAGATATCCAAGAAAAGGTTTTTGAAACTAAAGTCGGTTTCCTCAAGGGAATTACAGGAGAAAGAACATTGTCCATTTACTAGAGTTAACTTTACACATTTGCATAATGTAAAACAATGTCTCTCATGGATAATTTGCAAAAATATGTTATACAGTTTAAATCATTACCAATTTTGATGTACAAATATTTATCAAAAGACAGTTAAATATATTTGTGTTAATTGCACCATCTTTTCAGTTTGCAAAGCTGCAAGTTTGTCCTCTTTGTTGTTCCAATTCAATTTAAAGCCAGATTGGGTGGGTAACAGGCAGCAAATTGGCAATATCTTGACTATCAAGCTGTTGACATGAACTCTTTGAACATACACTTGCAAGCTTAAATGAAAATTAAGGAGATCCAAGTGCCACTGACCTTCGGGCATTTTCCTAGGTGCTAAGGTAGATGTTGGGGCTGCAGAAAGATTGGGCTCCCTTTCCAAGTGGAGAGCTTTGTCCTGGGCACTGTGCACCCATACTCTGGTCTCCTGATATGTGTTGGTCCTTTCTAAGCAACAGTCACTTGACCACTGTTACTATTGTCATTTACTACATGACAACTATACATTAGCACATCTAGAAGAACTTTCCCACAGTGTCATTATATTTAGACATTAAATCACTGATACAGTCAACACACATTTGAGTACCTATTGTGGGTCAAGCACACAAGGTGTTGGAAAAACAAAAGTGCCAAAAATCAGATGTATAGCCTGAATTCAGGGAGTTTTGTGGAAATGGAACTGGAAATGGAATTAATCAAATAATTGGACAAAAAGTCACACCTGTGAACAATACTATGTAAGGGCAGATGTCATGAGCTTGGTGACAGGGAGGTCATCCTTGGGGAAGTGATGCTTGATGATGAATAGAAATTAACTAGGTAAAAGGGCAAAGGATCAATATAGAAGCCAGAAGGAATAGCCAGTGCTAAGCCCTATGGCGGGAGGGTGTGGTGATCAGAAGGGAATGAAAGAAGGCTGAGGAGATTGGACCAAAGAGGCCAAGGGGGAGTATTCGTCCAGTTCAGGCTGAAAAGCAGGCACAGTGGCCAGGCCATGCAGGGATCTGAAGGCCTCAGAAGGGAATTTTTACTCTATGTTAAACGAACAGGAAACCATTTGTGAGTTTTAAGCAAGGAGGTTAATGAAGTTGAATTTATATTTTGGAAAACTCAAGTGCACAGAGTAAATGCAGGGAGACTGGTAGGAAGGCTATTTCCCTCATGGTAGCTTAGAGTCCTTTCTATAAAAATGGGAGGATGTATCAACTCAAATGACTTGGGTTCAGGGAAGATGTGTCAAACAATTATGTAAGTTAGTGGTGAGCTGGTGGGTGAGAGAAGATAGAAATCCCAAAAGAAGTTAAGAATAATCACTATTCGGGCTACACTTGATTCCAGGGACACTGCTGTCTTATTATTGCTTCATTGGTCACTATTCTACCTCCGAATAATCATGCCACTCTTTCATGGCCTGCTTCTCTTCATGGGTTTTCTTTTTTCTCCTCCTTGTACCTCTTCATTAATTTTTTTTTTTTTTTTAGTTGGAGTCTCACTCCATCACCCAGGCTGGAGTGCAGTGGCACACTCATGGCCACCCAGTGTCGACCTGCTGGGCTCCGGTGATCCTTCCGCTTTAACCCTCCAAGTAGGCGGAGCTATAGGTGTGCGCTACCATGCCTGGCTCAATTTTTACTTATTGTAGAGACAAGGTCTTACCAGATTGCCCAGGCTGGTCTCAAACCCGCGGGCTCAGGCAATCCACTTGCCTTGGCCTCCCAAAGTGCTAGGATCACAGGCTGAGCCACCAAACCCGGCCCTCTACATTAACTTATTCAACATTTTTCATTGACATTTGGGATAGGGATTTTGTCTGGTCTTGTTGTCATTGTCCATACTGGTGAGAGTTTTAGCGCCAACCTGCCCTGTAGGTTGTTAGTCACCCTATGTAATTATCACCTGTGGGTCAGGGGTTGACCCTGAGCCAAATCTCACTGTTCAGGTTAAAGCCTGGAGCTGATTTCACAGAAAGGAGCTCTGGGAAGGCTTCCTAGAATCTGAATTTTTAGCAAACACTCCAGACAATTCTTATGTGGACTGTATTGGGGAGCTGTGGGTAGTGGTTAAAAAAGACTCCAGAGTAGAAAGATTTGGGTTTGGATTCTAACACTTCCTAGTTGTGTTACCTGGGATACAATCCTTAAAATGGCTGTATGCTTTTTCTTCTTTAAAATAATACTTTCCTCATGGAGCTACTGTCAAAACTAGATGACTTGGTGGTTTGAAGCACTCAACACAGGGAGTAATTAATAAGTAATAGTCATAAGAGAAGATGATGTTAGAGATGATTGCATTCGAGACATGAGAATTACTCAGTGGGCAGGATTAGGAAACTCGACGCAGATGTTGAGACATCCAGAGATTAGCAACAATGGGAAGCTGTTACCACTCTTAGTCCTGAGGGGGAAGAAGAGAAGATATGGAGTCCAGTGAGAATTGGATTCTTGGAGCAGGGGCCACTTGACAGAAGCTGTAGTTGGAGGGAGGCAGCCACTCTTGGAAATGCAGGCAAGACAGAAATCTCCATGCTTTGATCTCCAGCCTATGCCTCCCATTGACTAAACTAATCAGGAAGCCAGCAACAAGGGAGCTGGGATGATGGGTCTGCAGGAATCAGCCTCCTGGGGTATAGAGAAGAGCAGAGAATAGAATGGGTGGGAGAGGTGATAGCATGTGATAATGATTGGTAATAACAGTGAGAGGAGCAAAATGCTAGGAATCTGAAATTGCTTATCCTCTTCTGCTAGGATTGAATTAAAGCTGGCATGGCATGCTCAGAAAGATAAAGCAATTTTTACAGTTGAGGTGATAATGCACCAGTTTTTCCTACATCAGAGTCTCATACTATCATGCAACATTTAAGTGTTTGCACACAGTATCAAACAGTCTGAGGGAAACATTATAAAAATATCCTTCAGTTACCCTGGTTTTTGGTGATGTGAGTGCAGGGCTTGAGTGTACTGACTAGGTATCTGTTTAGGGAAAGGAAATGTGTTGATGGCAACAGGGGTTTGAAAAATGACTCCATGTGGATTTACTGATAAGCACACAAGACCACCTACCTGAAAGTCTTAACAGTGGGGCTCCTGTCTGGCCACTCAGCAGGCTGCAGGCAGTGTAAGATTAGCACAGTATTAATGGTGCTTGAGCTTTGGTAAATTGTTGAAGAAAAAAATGCCATCACAGAGAAAAGTGTTTTTTGTTTGTTTTGTTTTTTTACCAGGTTTGCTTTCACACTTGAATTCACCAACTTGCTTCCTATTCAGCAGAAATTAAATAGCAGCAATATGAGTGAGAGTCTAAGAGCCCTGCCCTTGATGGTTTGACTTATGCCTTTTTTCCTGGTGCTAAGTTCTTTACTGAGAGTTCTGGAGGCTCAGCAACTTCATGAATTGTGTTTTGGGGAATCTTAAAACTACTGGAATGAATGCAAAAAAATCTTATGTGTGTGTGCATTTTTCTGGCTGAAAGAAATACTAGATTCTCCAATAATCACTGAAGAGTCATTGCTGGAGGCAAATTCCACCAGGCTGGTCATGATATTGCCTTTTTGAAAAGAATCACTCCTCCCTCCAGCCTCATCCCAAGAGGAACAGTGTGCAAACACTTGATTTCTTGCTCCATTAACATCGTTAAAATTTATGCATTGAGTTACTGGTACTGTACTAGGTGTTTGCTATATTTTGTTTTATTCTCAACCACCATTAGAAATAAGAATTGTCATCATTTACAAATGATGAAATTGAAGCTTAGAGGAGTTAAGTTATTTGTCCAAAAGCCTATGACTAATAAATGGATGAGCCTAGATTCAAACCTAAGGCTACAGTGTTTCAAATATGCTTTTTATATTACATAATTTTGCCTCTTACTGCACTATTTGGTCATTGAAATTAGAGCTGTATCTATTGTTTCCTAAACTGACAAATCACAACTCTATAAATCTTGTAAGAAATCTGACCAGAATTTTTCTATCCCAAATTAGCCTCTTCTCCCTCTCAACATCCTCTGATCATCTGCTTTATATTTATAATTAGTTGTGATCTGCCCTCTTGCTTCACTGGATCGAGAGCATTAATAATAATAACAATAAAAGTAATACATAGCATTGATTTAAAACCTCCCAAGTGCCAGACATTGCACTATGCACTTCACACACATCTCTCATTAAGTTCTTAGAACACTCATTTGCTAGGCACTATTATTCTTGTTTGTATTGTGCAGATACCGTTATCTCCAGATTAGGAGAACTGGGCTTGCCCAAGAGCACACAACTGATAAGACTCAGAACAAGAATCGAGTGCTTAACCGTTATTTCTGCATCAAGAATCTTGCCTTAATCCTCTTTGTCTCTTCTGCTCAGTGCTTAGTATCATGAAATGGTTATGAAATTGGACATTTGTTGAAGACAGTGTGATCCAGAATCTAGAGTATAATAGCCACTGGGGCAGTTGGGCTTATGCCTGGCATCGCAATATACACAGTGTCCAGTACTCTTTCTCTGCTTTCAGAGTAACTTGAGGAGGAAATGGAATCCCTATGGAGAGGGTGCCATGCCCACTAAAGGAAGAGATGACAAGAGATGCCAATAACAGTACCCACACTTAGGAAAGTCCATTGCATTTATGTCACTGCCCAAGTCGCCTGCACATATTGTGTAGTCAGGTCCTTACCTAACTCTCTCTCTTCCTTACTAAGTTTTAGATCCACTGTCTGCTGATCCCTCACTATATGTTGATGCTGTTGCTGTCTTACAATGGTGTGCATTGGAGTGATCTTGTCTTGACAAAGGGGACTTGATATGAAAATCTTGAACAAGCACACCCCCCCCCAGAGGAGTAGAGACTCAGACATCATGCAAATAGTTAGTACATAGCAGAATTAGACACTCCCATGCTTCATTTTTTTTTTTTTTTTTTTTTTTGGTTGGGG